AACAGAAACTATGCAGGCCAGCAGTGGAAAGAAATATTCAAAGTGATGAATAGCAAGAACTTATTATAGAACCAAGATTACTCTACCCAGCAAAGCTATCAATCAGAATTGAAGGTCAGATAAAGAGCTTCACAGACAAGAAAAAGTAAAGGAGTTCATCACCACCAAACCAGGATTACATGAAATGCTGAAGTGTTTTCTTTAAGAAGAGGAAGAAGAAGAAAAAGGTAAAGATAAAAATTATGAACAACAAAAAGACATCAAATACATACCTACCAACAAGTGAATCTAAAAATCAAGTGAATAAAAAGTCTGAAGAACAGAATGGACTGGTAAATATAATGGAATCAGGGACATAGAAAGGGAGTGGACTGCCAAAACCGGTTTGGCTCAGTGGATAGAGCGTCGGCCTGAAGACTGAAAGGTCCCAGGTTCAATTCTGGTCACGGGCATGTACTTTGATTGTGGGCACATCCCCAGTAGGGGGTGTGCAAGAGGCAGCTGATTGATGTTTCTCTCTCATCAATGTTTCTAACTCTCTATCCCTCTCTCTTCCTCTCTGTAAAAAATCAATAAAATATGTATTTTTTTAAAAAGAAAAAAGAAAGGGAGTGGACTGACAATTTTTAGGGGGAATGGGATCTGAGGGGTGTGGGAAGAGATTGGACAAAAGTCTTAAACCTAGGGATGAAGACAGTGGCGGAGGGTAAGGGGATGGGTTGGGTGGTGAATCAGGTGGAGGGGAGCTATTGGGGGGAGGGGGGAAGAGGAACACCTGTAATAATATGAACAATAAAGATTTATTTTAAAAAAAAGATTTTATTTTTCTTCCTGACAGTCTTAGTTTGCTGTATTAGCAGCTATCTAAGGAAATATATTTTTGGTTATGGTGAATATGAATGGGGAAAACAGAATTTCTGGAATGGCCTCTTGACTAGAATACAGCTGCTCTGTAAAGTGAAGAACAATATTTATGTATTATTTCTGTTCTCATGACAAATACATTGTGAAAGTCAGTAATTTATATATAAAATAAATATTCCTAGGTGTTAGAATGATTTATCCAAAAGAGTAAAACTTTACATGGAGTTAAAAAAAACACATGACAAGTGAAAGAAACCAGATACACATGTAATTAAATTTATAAGAAATGTCCAGAATAGGCAATCCTATAAAGACAAAAAATAGTTAAGTATAGGCTGCCAGGAACTTGGGGAAGAAGGGGATGGGGAGTGACTGCTATTGGGGTGGCTTTTATTTTGTTTGATGAAAATATTATGGACATTATGTTGTTAATGCACAACCTTGCAAATATACTAAAACACTTTATTTTTATTTTTAAATTTTATTTTTATTGTTGACACTCTTTCAGATGTCCCCATTTCTCTCTCCTCCCCTTTCCCACCTCCACCCAGCCCCCACTTCCCCTTCCTTTTGGCCACCACTCTGTTGTCTGTGTCTGTGGGTTATGCATATATATTCTTTGACTAATTTTTTCACCTTTTATCCAACCCTCTCACAGCTGTCAGTCTGTTCCATGAACCCATGCCTCTGTTTCTATTTTGTTTCTCATTTTATTTTGCTCACTAGGTTATACATATAAGTGAGATCATATGGTATTTGTTTTTCTCTGACTGGTTTATTTCACTTAGCATAATTCTCTCCAAGGCCATTGGAATTGTTGCAAAAGAAAAGATTTGCTCCTTTTTTTATGGACACACAGTATTCCATTGTGCAAAAGTACCACAGCTTTTTTATCCACTCACCCACTGATGGGCACTTGGGCTGCTTCCATAATAATAATGCTGCTGTGAACATAGGAGTTATATGGTCTTATGAATTGGTGTTTTGGGATTTTTAAAGTAAATTCCCAGAAATGGGATCACTGGGTCAAAAGGCAGTTCCACTTTTAATTTTTTGAGGAAACTATACTGTTTTCCAAAGTGGCTGCACCAGTCTGTATTCCTACCAACACTACTAGGGCTGGCTCCTTGTTCACCACATCCTCTTCAACATTTTGTTATTGTTGTTGATTGATTGATGGTAGTCATTATGACAGGTGTGAGGTGATATCTCATTGTGGTTTTAATTTGTATCTCTTTGATGACCAGTGACATTGAGCATCTTTTCATATGTCTTTTTGCAATCTGTATGTCCTCTTTGGAAGAGTGTCTATTCAGGCATTTTGCCAATTTTTAAATTGAATTGCTTGTTTTCCTGGTGTTGAATTGTATAAGTTCCTTTTATTATTATTATTTTTTATTATTATAGTATCACATAATTGTCCTCATCCTCCCATTCCCATCCCAAACCCCTCCCCACATGTGCCCTTACCCCCTTGTTGTCCATGGCCACTGGCTAGGCCCATATGCATGCTTTGGTTGATCTCTTCCCCTTCGCCCCACCCTCCCTTACTTTCCCTCTGAGGTTTGAAAGTCTGATCGCTGCTTCTCTTTCTCTGGGTCTGTTTTTGTTCATCAGTCTGTGTTGTTCATCATTTCCTCTAGATGTGTGAGATCATGTGATCCAAGAAATACCCTTGTAAGAACTGAATCTGAGACAAGCCATAATGGTTATGCTGAGAGGCAAATGAATCAGTCTGTAGTGAATTCCTTTCTGGGCCAAAAGATATTTCAAATCTGGTTGGTGGACAAATGGTGGTGATGCAGGTCCAACCGTCTCTGGTTTGGTCCTGGGCATCCTTCAGCAACACACAGCTGCTGTCTGCTGGGATGGTGAGGCGTCGTCAGCGTCTTCCATCTCTGAACTGTTTCTCTTGTCTTCATGGCTAGAGTGCTTCTGTCTATTCCTCTCTGTTACAGGAATCCAGATGGTCTTGGAGTTGTTTTCTGAAAATATACAAACATATTCTCGACCAAAAGTTAATAAAGGGATATTTTCTATAACTTTGACTTGGGATCCTTTTTCATTCTCCCTCCATCCTCCCCCCAAATGATTTTCCTCTGGCTTGTTTTGACACCATGTGTGTATTTTCATGGGTATCTTGCTGTTAGCGTTTCTAATGAAAGTTAATTTCTTAAAGTATAAATTTTTTAGATGTAATTTACTCACAGGGTATTTTTTCTTACATGATATTCTTCCACTGTCACCCCCTTTTAAAATTTAAATAATAGGGGGCTTTTGGAAGTTTTATAATGTAGTCTTGATAGCTTTTATAATACATTTTAATTATTTGCGCTAAACAATGACTGCTTTAGGTTCATTACATGTTATGCAATTTTACAATGAGACGCTCTGCCAATAAGAACTTTTGTTAACACTTTAGGAACAGCTTTTTGTACAGTACAATCGGTTTTTCTAGAATATTCATTTATTTCCATTAGCCGTGTATTTATTTACCATGTGTGTATTAGTGGAAATGATTATTCGCCTTCTTGAGAAGGGCCTGAGCATTCCTGCTACTAGGCTGGACTTGGATATTAAAAACCCACTTGCCCACACCACGGGTACAAGACCTCTCAAGCAAGTCTTGTTGCAGTGAGAGGGCAGCTGCCATCAGCCAAGTCTCTGTCTGTTACCTGGGTCCCAATTTGAGCTGTGCATGGGGAGCGAAGCAGCCATGGGGGCAGACCTCCCTCAGAAGGGGAGGAGGTTCAGGAGCCTGCCAAGTTGCACGGGGGTAGGGGTAGTAAAGGTCTGTGCCCCACCTTTGTTGACCCCCAAGTTTTCTCCTGATAGCCCCTCTATGACTGTGCTTGTCTTAGGTTGTTCCTTCCCTGAGGAATCTTACCCGTCTCTGGCTAACCAGCCATCCTCCGAGGCCAAGCAGGGTGATGTGAGGTTTAGTTCTGTCTCCTTGGTAGCCTATGCCCCCATGGGCTCCAACACCCAGCACCTGCCTCGGGAACCCCTCACCTGCTGGCAAGGCCCGGAAACTGATCTCATATTTTGGGGAACACATGTTTCTTCTCCAGAGAAGGCCCAGCTTACCCCACTGGGTGAGAGACAGATCCATGGTACTAGCCACCGTGATGTTTCAGCCTCAGCATGAACTGAATGTATAAGTTCTTTATATATTTTAGAGATTACCCCTTATCGGGTATACTATTGACTAATATGTTCTCCCATACAGTGTGTTTCCTTTCTTTTTTTTTTTAATGGTTTCTTTTGCTGTGCAGAAGCTTTTTATTTTGATGTAGTCCCATTTGTTAATTTTCTCTTTTGTTTTTCTTGCCCTATTTATTTGAGGATATACTTGTCCTAAATGGCCTGCTAATTATGTAATTAGCAGGCCATTTAGGACAAGTATATCCAATATGTTTGAAATGTATCAGCAAACATTGCTACGAGAGATGACTGAGATTTTACTGCCTATGTTTTCTTCTAGGATTTTCATGGTTTTATGACTTACATGTAAGTCTTTTATTCATTTTGAACTTATTCTTGTGTATGGTGTGAGTTGGTGGTCTAGCTGCATTTTTTTGCATATACCTGTCTAATTTCCCCAATATCATTTTTTGAAGAAACTGTCTTTATTTTTGCTTCCTTTGCCAAATATTAATTGACTATATAGGCATGAGTTGATATCTGTACTCCTTGTTCTGTTCCATTGATCTATATACCTGTCTAAAAACACTTTAAAATGATGAATTTTATGGTCTGTAAATTATATCTCAATAGAAAAGAAATGTATAAGGAAAAAATTCTTATAACTATAATTAGCAGACCATTTAGGGCAAGTATATCCTCAAGTAAATAAGAGTTAATTGGTGGATGTCAAGAGAAAAAAACAAAATGAAAATAAATAAAATTTTAAAAAGAGTTAATTGATGGATGTCAAGAACTGCTAGAAATCTTTTTTTAGACCACAAGTCTAAAATACCATCATCATTTGTTGAATAATAAGACAGGAGTGAGCTTCAACTAAGTTACCCCATGTAATCTCTAAGAAGTTGTGTCCAATAGTTCCATTTGGTTAGGGAGCTAACTTCTTTGTTCCAAACTCTCTCTCTTACACATTATTTTAATTTTACTTTCAGCATCAGTATGACAACCTGTTCCACAGTGGCTGCCCTGGGAATGATGCCACTCTGCCTTTATCTCTACACCTTGTCCTGGAATTTTGAGCAGAATTTCACCATTCCGTATCAGAACATAGGTCTGTATGAGCTTGTGCAATGAAAAAGTATCAGGAATGGGGATGGTGAGGGTAATAGCTGTTATTTACTAAGTGTCTCCTGTAGGCAGCGTGTATGGTTTTTTGTTTTGTTACCTAATTCAATTTTCTAAGTAACTCTACAGTAGATTCTATTATTAGTTCCATTTCCTAGATTTCCTGGATTAGAGAGATTAAGTAACCTCTCTAATCCAGAAGTTTGTGCAGTTGGTAAGGGCAGCACTTGAATTTTGACTCAGGAATCTGACCGTAAATCTAAACTCACTAACCCCTACCTAAGTTCACTTTTGAAAATAAAGCCAGAAAACTTATTAAAAACATTTATAGAGTTTATTGTAAAGCAACTGGACTCACCATGACCAAAAGGTTCCCTGGATCGCTGGGGCTCTACTGAGACCTCAGTTCCCACAGGTCCACCTTTCACATCGCCTGTGAGCCTTGACCTCTCTGCTGATCAACAGAAATGATTCCTGTTGGTTATTGAAGTGTGTGCACTTGTCACAACTATTACCCATATCCCTTTCATTATCGCTCTTCCTGAATATTATTTCTCATCAAACTCTGCACAGCTCCTAGAGATCTCTGTGGACTCACTAGCCTTAGAAGAAAACCTGGGTAAGACGATCTGCCTGTTCTAGTTTGATCAGAGTGTTTGGAGAACTGGCAGTAACGATGACTCTTAAAAGTCTAACATGCCAATCTGGGGTCTCCAGTCGGCCCTTGGAGGGCTTACAAGCCACAGTCCATATTTTAAAAGCATGACTAGTGCCATCTTCTGATAATAGCTGGAGACTATTGACTGTAAAATTTGAGGGAGATCTTAATTTAGAGATTATGATTTTACGTACAGTTTTTTTTATTAGTAAGTTACTTAATATATTCTGTTTTGATAATATATTCTGAAAGACTCATAAATAATTAAAACACAAAATATTAGGAGCAATTCGTATACCTTTGGAGCCAGTATTGCAGGCATTGGTAAGGAGCTCTACTGAGCCTGCCTTCAGTGCCTTTATTTGCTTGTGTTAACTAAAAGGCATTTTTCTCCCTACTTGCCATTGGGTTACCTAGTTACACTTGGAGATTATGAGAAATGGCTTTGGTATGTGTAACAAGTGCTGTTTTTTATGTCTGAAACAGGTATTCTTACTTTGTGAAGCAAATGACCCATTGGCATCCAAAAGGGAACAATAGCTGTGGTTGTAGAGGGGACCCCATACATAACACCAAAGATGATCACAGATTAAAGAGCATCCTCCTGTTTGTTAACTTTACATTTCCAGTTGTCCCTAAAATCTCATGGGGTTGTCAGAGGGATTCTGAGGGAAATGATGGACCAAATACGGTGGCAGACGGTAATATCATACACTGAGTGGCCAGATTATTATGATCTCTGAACACATAATAATCTGGCCACTCAGTATGTATATATATAAGAGGCCCGGTGCATGAATTCATGTGTCTCGGGGAGAGGATATGGGCAGTTGGCCGGTTTGCCTGCTATAATAGTTGAACTCCTGGGGATAGTTTGCATATTAGCCTTTTATTATATAGGATATACACTGAATGGCCAGATTATTATGCATTCAGAGATCATAATAATCTGGCCACTCAGTCGATACCCTTCAAAGATCGTCTTCCAAAGACTGAAAAAAAAAAATTGAAGGTGGATACAGAAGCAAAATGCAGCTTTAATGAAAGCTTTTAACTGGTTGAAACAGAAATTGTTGAGGCTAGGAGGTCAGGATTAGGGTGATGCTGCCTGATGGATTTCTCTTCTATTCAGGGATTTCCCTCCTGTGCCTGACCGTTCCTGTGGCCTTTGGTGTCTATGTGAATTATAGGTGCCCCAAACAATCCAAAATCATTCTCAAGGTAAGCAGCTCCGCCTGGAAGTTGGCACATCCTCAGACTCAGAGACGTGACAGATGAATGTAGCAATGACTGAAACAAACAAGCCAGACCCATGCGGGCCCACACCCAGCAATTTTCCCTGCCTGTCCTACATTTTTGGATCCTACCTCCCAAGTTTCCTCTGCTCCTCTGGGCCTTGCTCTGTCACTCCCATAGACCCATCAGCCGAGGCTTGGGACACACCTGCTGGAGAGACAGAAAGCTGAGGCCTGAGTGTGGTCAGAGAACCCAGGGCCCATCCACTCACAAGTCTTCACACAGGCGCCCAGGTGGCCGCTGTTCAGGGTGTGTGGGGCCCAGTGTTTAGGGAGCAGAGCTGGTTTCATGGAAGAGTGGGACCAAGGGCTGTCTTTTGGAAGCTCCTAAGGTTGTAGTTTGTACACACGGGCAAGGGCTGCCGACCACCTGAAGAACCGTCACAGTGAGATAGAGCATCCAGAGCACGTGGAGGAGCCTGGCCATGGACTCGTGGTAACCGCAACTCCTGCATGTCTTGTGTTTGCCGGAGAACCAAGCATGTGTCCCTGTTAAATGGCTGTGAAAGTAACTAGGTAGACAGAAGATATTCTCAACAAAGTGTTAACCTCCTGAGGTGCTTTCTGATTTCCCAATTATGTGTTGTTTTCTTTATTTTTAGAGATGCTTATTTTTAGTGTCTATATTCTTTTAGTTTGATATATATACAGTATATATGTTGATTTCAGAGAGAAAGGGAAAGGGAGAGAGAGAAACATCAATGATGAGAGACACCCGCTACTGGGGATTGAGCCTGCAACCTGAACATGCATCTTTGACTGGAATTGAACCCAGGACTGACGCTCTATCCACTGAGCCAAACCAGACAGGGCTATCTACTAGGATTGTTTTAGAAGACAGAGAATTGTAGTGTGTGCTTACTTCTATGAGGTGTTTAAAAGTGTTCTTTATATTTTACATTTATAAAGAAATAAACATTGGGGGCTAGCAGGAGGTTCCACAAGTATGTCTGAGCTCATTTCAGTTGAAGGTTTACAGTTTGGTTCAGTTTAAGCGCTTGCCATTTGGCTCTATCTAGCAGAACATGGCTACTCCACGTGCCTGCACAAATGGACGCTGCTTTCCCGGTTTGGCCCCAAACCAAACACTGCCATCACCCCTCCAATGAGAGGAGGAACATGAGAAGGGGGACAGGCAGACAGCTCAGCTGGCACAGCACTGGAGGAAGGCTCTTATGGTGATTCAGGAGTGATTTTGTTACTTCAGTGGGAGAAAATGTTTAAGGAGGCAGTTCATGGTTATAATTTTGTTTATGAAACAAGAGAAAAATATGATTATTGGAACTTCTTACTTTTCTTTTTCTTTTTTTTTCTACTCCTAATTTTTTTTATAATATATATTTTTTATTAAATTATTATTTTTGTACATATACCAATGCCCCCCTCCCGTACATACCCTCTCTCTCCAGAGTTTTGTGTCCATTGGTTGTACTTATATGCATGTATACAAGTCCTTTGGTTGATCTCTTATCTCCCCCAGATCTCCTCAACCTCCCCGCTGTAATTTGACTGTCTGCTTGTTGCTTTACTGTCTCTATATCTATCTTTTGGGAACCTCTTACTTTTCAAGTATTCTACCCTGGATTATTTTCTAACAAAGAAAGTCATGATTTTGGTGTTTCCAGATCTGTCAGTGACAATGAGGAAATCAAATATATTTTCTGTAGGTCAATTTCATTTCTGTAAAGGTCAGATTTAAAGCCCCTTTCCTTTGGCTATTCCACTGGATTTGTGGCAGAAAATATTTAGTAATATGCATACTAAAGGTGCGCTAGAATATCTAGGTAGATATTCTACGTAGATATTAATTTTAAAAAAAGATTGGGAAAATTTAATCATTATTTTGGTATATCTTCAATCTGTTCTTCATCCTCTTTTTTTTTTTAAAAAAAATCTAAATCACTGTTTTATTTATTTACTTAATTATTTTTAAAAAAATATATGGAACATTACATGAATTTGCATGTCATCCTGGCCCAGGGGCCATACTAATCTCTGTATCGTTCCACGTTTGGTATCCGTGCTGCCGAAGCGAGCACTGTTATTCATCATCTTTTAATTTAAGATCTGATTCGTTTTCTAAACAAATTGCTTTCTGTGAATTTTAAACTTTCAATCCCCGTTTTGGTAGAAAGATGCAGAGGGATTTTTATAGTCGCAGGCTTTCTCGGTGTGTTCCAGTATCTTCCAGGCTGGTGAGGCCCCTCCCTGTGTTTGGGCAGTAAAGGTGATTCCTGGAACACATCGATGGCACACAGAGTTGTTTTGTTTTGCTTTGGTAACCCATGGCTACCTTCCTCTACTCCCTTAATCATTTCACATCGCAGTGGATGCTGTAACTAGTTTGCTGTCACCATGTTATGAATGGGAACTTGCCAAGATCCTGATCTTTCCCAAATATTCTAGGTCTTGCTTCTTTCCTATCTGATCTAAAACTCAAACCACTGGAAATTTTTCCGTTTGATTTTTTTGTTTGTTTGTTTCTGACAAACAACAAAAGAGACGGCATTCATTTGGGAGAGGGTGGAAGTATTTGTCAGTACCTCTCATATCACATTAATTACCTCAGATTGTCTAATGAAGAATGGGTAACTTTCATTTGGAGCAGAGAAGGGCAGGGACCAAAGCAGTAAGAAGCCATTGGTGGGGAGAGAGTTGGGGATGGTCAGGCAGGAAGGATCTCAGATAAGAGGTTACCATTGAGGTATCTAAGAGGTGTGTGTACAGGTGTTGGATGCTTATTGTCAGGTTTCACTTATGTCACAAATACGTTCTATCCATGAAAACAACTATGTGATCCTTCTGACCAAATCCTCCACTTAAAGAGAGAAGTTACAGTTCATAAAACAAGAAGACTGAGCTTCCTGCTGAGCCTTACCAATTCCTGGCTTAGCCAGGTCACTTGACCACTTTGGACCTTAGGTTTATTCTCTGTGAAATGGTGGATTTGGTGGTCTCAAAGTCCTCTTTTTTGTTCTAAAACTTCTAGGTTCCAAGCTTCTTAGAGCAGTGATGGACTTTGCATCGTAGAACCTAAAGACCAAGATGTTTATGTATTTATTTTATCGGTTTGCTTTAGATTGGGGCCATTGTTGGTGGGGTCCTCCTTTTGGTGGTCACAGTTGCTGGTGTGGTGCTGGCGAGAGAATCTTGGAATGCAGACATCACCCTACTGATCATCAGTTGCATCTTTCCTTTGATTGGCCATGTCGCGGGCTTTCTGCTGGCACTTCTTACCCACCATTCTTGGCAGAGGTACAGTTAAACTATCCATAAACTTTGATGAGAAGAATAAATGAAACCCAAAGCCTTTGCTGTCTGACTATGTCTGGAAACTCAGAGTTTTGACTTACAAGGTGGGTGGACTGGGACAGCTCATTAGACAGAGGGTGAAAAGTTCATGTAAATGAACGCAAAGGCCAAATTGATGGACGTTGTAATCTGTGAAATTAGGACCTGGGTGTTGATACCACTTGTAATCTGGACACCTTGCTCTTCATTAGTGGTTAAATAGGAGGGGTGAGATGGTTTCACTACATATAGAGATCATTCCAGGGCATGAGCAAGTTCAAGAGATTAAGCATATATGCCTTGTTTGTGCCAACTTTTAAAAAGTGCCACTTATGAGGAGCAAGAGGAGAAAGGGCAAACTTGAGAAATAAAATAGAAAATTTACCTTAAATGTTATCATTACAAATGGGAAACATAATTTATAAATGCTGTGAAATATTAAACATGATAATATTCCATGTTATTGGAATAGATGAGATGAGCATTATTATACACTGTTGGGGGTAACATAAATTGGTATATACTGTCTAAAAGACAAGTCACATCAGTAGCCTTATAAATATTTATAGTTAACAGTGGTTTTACTTCTGAAATTCTGTCCTGAAACTATCAGGTAATTGCACAAATATTGATATGCAAAGATGTTAATTGAAATGTTATTCATAAATATAAAAAATAGAAACAATTTAAATATCTAATAATACAGAGATTTAATTATGATATGGCTATGTGATGGAATATGATGTATCAATTTTAATTCTTTTGAAAATACTTGAGATAAGTTTGAGTTAAAAAAAAAAGAAAACAGTATGCATTTTGAGTAGTCTCATCTTGTAGAAGGAAGAAAAGATTTTATGCATAGAAAAATACTGGAAGAAATATACCATATGCTAATAGTGTTTATTTTGAATAGTAGGATTAAGACTAATTTTAATTGCTTAACATTTTTGGTATTTTTTTTTTATGTTTTTTACTGAGTATGTAATTCTCAATTCTTTTAAAATCAGAAAAGAATATTTGAAGAAAAGTAAACTATGCACTTGAATTCCAAAGGTAGAGTTTGGGAAGCATGTAATTGGCCTCATGCTGTTTCCAGTTCACTAGGGAACATTGAGGATTGTACAAAGTACGGGGTGAGGCTCCACCAAGAGTATCTCATTTACTTGCTACAAAGCCTCAGCGATATCATCAATAGTTTGCAGATGAGTGAACCCTTCAGAGAAACGAAGCAACTTGACCAAGTTCATTGAGCCAGAATGTGGTAGAGTTAGAATTTGGACCTGGGTTTGCTTCCAAAGTTAGGAACAGGGACTGTTGGGCGGTTGAAACATAATTGGATCTGGAGAGAGAGTATTCAGATAGCAAAGTGTAGTCAACATTCTCATCCCTGTCCTCCTTCCCCGCACCTGATAGCTTAAGAAAGATCAAAACTGAGACCCTGCTGCTGCCCAGTGGATGAACGGCTCAGGCGGGGGGTCCAGCTTGTAGCTTAGTTGTATGGAGGTAGGGCAGTCTGGAGAAAGCATAGCAAGCAATGGGGTCATTATAAATAAAATAAGAGCCACAGAACTTGTCCTGTGACAAGTGATGCCATGTCCACTCCCACATCCCACACCCACATTCTGGTCCAGCTTTACCATCGGAACGCCTCTTCTCTTCCAGCCCTAAACCCTGCTGACTCCCTTTATAACCTGGAGACAGGTGAAACTGCTGACTCTGCCCTCAAGGCCCTGCCTATGTCTTCTTTTTTCTTCCTCCTGCTTTTTCTTTTTCAAGTGAGGTTATTTATTTCTTTTCTTTTCTGTACTTTTCCTCCCCCCCCCCCCCCTTTTAAAAAATATATATTTTTATTGATTTTTTACAGAGAAGAAGGGAAAGGGATAGAGAGCTAGAAACATCGATGAGAGAGAAACATCGACCAGCTGCCTCCTGCACACCCCCCACTGGGGATGTGCCCGCAACCAAGGTACGTGCCCTTGACCGGAATCGAACCTGGGACCCTTTGGTCCGCAGTCCGACGCTCTATCCACTCAGCCAAACTGGTGTTGGCTCTGATCTTTTCTTTTCTTTTCTTTTTTATTTTTTCTTTTCTTTTCTTTTTTCTTTCCTTTCCTTTCCTTTTTTCTTTTCTTTCCTTCCTTCCTTCCTTCCTTCCTTCCTTCCTTCCTTCCTTCCTTCCTTCCTTCCTTCCTTCCTTCCTTCCTTCCTTCCTTCCTTTCTTTCTTTTTTTGCAATAAGGAAACCAGTAAAATGTAGGAAAGTGGAAAAGGTTTTTGTGTTTACTTCCAAGTGTTGTTTAGTTTATACTGTTTCTATCTCTAACTCAACTTTCCCTTCTCACCCCTCAGCCTCTGCTCTTCACAGTTGGCTTACAGCTCGGGCAGTGCCTCCGGGTAGGCCAAATTCACACCTGTCCCTGGAACTTTACTTTCAGTCCTTGTCCCTCAGTCAATGCCTCTTCCCCTCTCCCCATGCTTTAATCCCATGTCCTCTGTGAAGCCTTTTCTAACCATTGACGCCCCTTTTCTAAATGCCTACAGCATCTCCTGATTTGTCTGGTGGCGGTACTGAATTTCCACTGGGTACCTCTTGGACTTTTCAAGCAGATTCCTAGGTTGGGATTCATAGGGCCTCCTCCCAGCTGCCTCTCAGGAGACCACCTACAGAGTAGGCACTCAGAAAGTAATGATTGGACGAGTAAACATTTTTAGGGGCCTAAGCTCACAGCTTATATTTATTGCTATTTGTAAGAGAACATGTAAGAATAGTCCTTATTGCTATTATGTAACTCTTGAAAAAAATTTTTTTCATTGTAGGTGCAGGACAATTTCCTTAGAAACGGGGGCCCAGAATATTCAGATGTGCCTCACCATGCTGCAGCTCTCTTTCACTGCCCAGCAGCTGGTCCAGATGATCAGCTTCCCCCTGTCCTATGGACTCTTCCAGATGGTGGATGGATTTCTCATTGTTGCAGGTGCGTAGAGCCCTGTTGGGTACACTTGATGAAAATTGTTGACTCACCTTCGCAACTCTCTTTTCAGTCCAAACGTGCACAGGCTGTCCTTGTGACACATTTTTAGCCTGACATTTTTTATTTTTTATTTTTTTGGCAAATGAAATGCACAAACGAGATTCTTTGCCACAAAGTGGAAGTTTCACAGAAAAATATAAAAAACCATGGGAAAGTGAGCCGGGGAAGATAAACAAGTATGCTTCACACAAAAACAGTGCATGATCAGAACTCAGATTTTAGGATTGATCAGTCTCCAGGAGCAATCATTTATTTCTATGTTTCATCAAGAGCTAAATGTCAAGTTATTTCACAGTGTTCTTGTGGCAAAGAATTGTGCTGAATGGCTGTAACATATTTTTCAAATATAGTACACACACAAATATTGAAATTAATTATGTGTGTGGGGGGGCAAACAAGGTTTACAGTTGTTCGTGTGGAAATAATACAAATAATAAACAAGAACAAACCCTGTGTTTCATATACTGACAACTATACACCTACTTTTGCCCCACCTTGTCTGCTCTCTACCCATATAGCTAAATATGTCATTTTGGAATCAGTCACTATTTATGCTCATAAGGTAAATTAAAAAAAAATATATAGATGGGTACGGTAGATATGAACACACACATGTATTTTAATCTTGGGCCATGGTCAATTTTTATTATTGTAAGGGAACAGGGCTGAGTAAGCCTCAGTGACTGCTGCTATAGCTGATTATATTAAATTCATGCATGGATAGGGTCCCTAGGCTTGGCTAGTGACCAGGGTCTATCAGGTTCCTCCTCCTTCCCTTGCCATCGGCATACTATCATTACATGGTTCTCTTCCCCCACCTCCCCACCTCCTCTTTCCCTCGCTCCCTCAGCAACCCACCACAGCTGCTGGTTGCCCGCCATGTTCCACACCCTCCCACGCTGATGGTCAGCACACTTCATAGGGAGCGATTGAACAACTGTTCTCCAGGTTGAACTCCAGAGGGGACACTTTGCATATTGGCCTTTTCTATAGAGAGATTACTGATATAACCACCAATATAAGAATACTGGGATTTTAATTTTCCAACAAGATAAGAGAAATCCTAAGAGACACCTGGACTGAAGTCAAGCTTGAATTCCTTCTCCTGGTGAGACTGTGAGGGAAGGAACACAGGGGAGCGCTCACTGGAAGCCCTCCATGGGAGCGGCTGACGGACTGACAGAATAAACAAATGAGCTGTTGATGAGCTGATGACTACCGTAAGTCTCTTTCACAAATGGTCCAGTCCAGACGGAGTCACCCTTTTGATACACTAAATTGTTTTGTTTTATAGTTTCCTGCGTGTTAATACACACATGTCCCCAAACAAATTCTCAAAGCATGACAAGCGCACAAGGTCACCAAATTATAATCCTTATTAGCATGATTTTTTTAATGACTTGTGTGTTTTCACATGTAGCATATAAGTTGTACAAAAGGAGACTGAAGAACAAACACAGGAAAAAGACCCCGGGCTGTGCAGAAGGCTGCCGTCACAAGCGCTCCACCTCTCCCCAAGAGACCGGTGCTTTCTTGGAGGTGAATGAAGAAATCGCTGTAACTCCTGGGACATCAGAGCCGATGGATCCCCCTGTGGCTCTCGAGCCAACGGGCTCCATCTCCTCATGTGCACAGTAGGGGCTTGCGGGCCCTACTGGATGCCGGCTACCTCCACCCTCAGTAAAGAGAGTGCAGGCCTGATGCGTGGATCTCATTGGCGAGGCCTGTGGGAATGTCTACATTTTTGTGTGGATTGTAAATTGTCCCAGGATCTCTTTTTGAGAATGTATTCTGCCTCTTTCAGGGAGTCCTTTGGGGTTTGCACAACATATTTACCAGTTGCTGTGTTCTTGTCTTCCCGTTGTTATGTGCAGTCGTCCTCACTTGTGGCTTTTAACCACCAGAGGGTAGGGACTCTGTAGAGGTGCCCTCTCATATTCAGGGCAAGGACAGTCTGAACGCCCTTGACTTTGGGAAGGTTTTCGGAGCCCGGGGGAGGAAGCACGCAGGTCTTAGAAAACATGGGGTCTTTTCTCAAATGGTCGTTCAATCTTAAGGGCTTGAAAGTCTTTTTGGATTCTAAACGTAATACAGATTTAGAGGAAAGTTAATGAACACTTGAGGTTAAAAGGTGAATGTCCCATATTTTCACTCCCCAGTGATAGGCACATGTATATCCTAAGGGTTGTTTACACATTATACCACTTCAAAAATACTGGGCTCTTCCCACATATACTGTCTAATAAGTCACTTAATGACGCCTTATGGAGCACCTTCACACGTCGGTCTGTGCTGACCTGCCTCATTCTGTAGAACAATGGCTTTGTAGAAGCATCTCACTGCGTGGAAGGACTGACTGGTTTCACGGTTCCTCATTCATGGGCATTTAGAGAGCGTTCAGCTCACTGGGACTGCGATGCTGCTCCGCCTGCCTGTGCCCTTCTGGGGGCATTTCTGTATGGCCACTGTCTGCAGCTTGAATCGACAGGCCAACTGCACAGGAAGATCCTGGACTCTGCTCTCTGGCAATGCTGAGCACATAGCAGTGCCCAAGAGGGCCCGGCCCCCCGGCCCCGGCCAAAGGATGATCAGCTTTGATGTGTGAGAGCGTCTCATTTAAAGCCGCATTTAATCAGTTCTGAGTAAAGTATTTTTTTTTTCATGGCCACTTGCCTACTCATGTCTTTTGACTGCTTTTCTATTTTATTTGTCCTTTTTGATTGACAGGTTCGAACACTTTATGGATAGTGACCCATTGCCTCGTTTTCGTCAGTATTTTACACCCTCATTTATCTTTTGCTTTTTGGGAATGTCTTTTGCTGTACAGTTTTATATTTTTTACATATGAAGCAGTATTAATCTTTTAAAATAATGTTTTTGACCTTGATCTCTGTCCAGTGTTGGAACTTTACATTTTTATGTGACTGGATTGTGAAAGGATTCCTTGCTGAGAATGTATTTGGCCCCTTTTGAGGGAGTTCATTTTGGGTGTTTACTAGCTGCAGTGTGTACTGCCTGGTATTGTAGAACCCATTCTCCTTCTCTACTCTTACATTAAACGTATTTTCCATGTCCTTCCATCTTGATTTTATGAAAAACTAGGCATGTACATATTTTATCCCATTTTGAACTTTGGATGGTGTGTGAAGAACGTAATATTTTTATGATTAATTGTCCCAGTATCACATATTGACTCATTCATCTTTTCTTTACCTATTTGAAATGCCTCCTTTATCACCTAACTCAGTGGTCGGCAAACTGTTGGCGCCACATGTGCTCTTTGGCCCCTCAAGTGTGGCTCTCCCACAAAATACCATGTGCAGGCACACACGTACAGTGCGATTGAAACTTCGTGGCCCATGCACAAAAGTCGGTTTTCGACTCAAAAGAAATTTCAGTCTTTGTACTTTTGATATGTGGCTCTGTTAACTAATGAGTTTGCCGACCACTGACCTAACTTCATATATATATATATATTGGGATTCCATTTTTTTCTATCCTCATTTGTAAGTTTTGAAATGTGTAAGAAACTGTGTTGTCTGAGATAAATCTTTACCGTTTTATTTTGTCAGTATTCCCAAGAACTCGTGGGGTAATATAATGACCATGATTACTGTGGTTGTTTCACAATTGAGCACACCTTTATGGAGGCACAGAAAGAGCCCAGCAAGGTGTCACCAGTGTATTTACATGTTAAAGAACTCCGCAGACCTTTGTCCTGATTGTTAATCCTCAGGGCTGCCTGGCCAAGGGTTGGGGTGGGAGGTGGGAGGATGGGGGTGAGTGAGTGGGGTGGGGATTCCCATGTACCCACCTGCAAACGGGAGGGGTTGGGGGGGGAGGTGAGGGGTTGGGGGTGAGTGAGTGGGGTGGGGATTCCCATGTACCCACCTGCAAACGGGAGGGGTGGAGAAGCTGGTCCGGTTGTGCACAGGGCACAGCAGCAGTAACCACGCAGGAGGGTTCCTGCTCGTGGGGAACCTTTTCTCTGCCAAGGGCCACCTGGATGTTTATCACACCATTCGAGGGCCATACACATTATCAACTGAAAATTATATTGCGATATTTGGTCAAACGTTTAATTAACTCACCCCTAATGCTTGGCAGGGCCAGACCAAGCGGTTTTGCGGGCCTTAGCCCGAGGGCCGGACTTTCCCCACCCCTGGGTTACAGTCCGGTGGGGAGGAGATCATCGCGCTGAACACAGTAGAGCTGAGCGTAAACAGAGATCTCAGGTCTGAAATGAGCGTGACCATGAGTTGCAAAGACTGCACCAAAAAGTGAATTTCTAAATTGTTTCTCTGCAGAGGAACTTAATGGTAAAATCCAACACTTTGTTCTGAAAGGATTAACTAGCTGGTCAGTGTTATGCCCAGATTTCATCATCCTCAAGGACCACCAGGGAGCAGAGTCCGATGCAATAAACAAAAGAGCCTTTTCCATGCTAGCATGAGCTCTGTCCCACTCACGCCGGCAGCATGGCGGAAGAGAGCGAATTTCGCCCAGCCCAGGGGTTTTACTCCGATCGGTGGTGATGTCACTGCCTCGGCTGACCCTGATTGGGCTGGGTGAGGGCTAGGGTTCAGTTACAGAATGGAGGATAACTCCGCCCTGCCTCGCCCTGCCCTGCCCTCTCAGTCAGCCTGGTCAGCATGATCATAGTCAGGACACTTCGGGGACAGGTCTACCAAAAGCCATTCGCTAAGACAGAAACAACCCCAGTCAATGCCAGGGTTTGAAAGTAGTCACGTCAGAAGCCCTTCCATCTCCAGGGAAGGTTTGTACATGTGTTACTGAGAAGACCTGGACACAACTAGTCTGGAGGCGTTAGGATGTAACTATGAAAAAGCGCTACCTGAATAAACCGTATTCTAACAACTGATCTAAATAACTACAAGTTCATAAAAGCCAGGGCCTACAAGAAGCTCAGAAGAAGTGGGGCCAGGGAAGGGAGGTTAAGCAGACTGAGCTCAGCTCTCTGTCTGGAAAGGAGCCTGGTGGGTGGTTAGGGCTGCAGGCTGCAGTTGGAGGGGCACGGGTGTGGCCTGGGCTACCTGCTGACTCCATGTAAAAGGCCAGGCCGCCACTGGAGTTGTGGGTTGAAGGCAGACTTGGTATTGAATTCTAGCTCTGCTATTTGGGCAAGTGACAGCCTCTCTGGACTTCAGTTTCTTTTTTTTGAAAACAAACAGACATCCCAAACACACTGAAGTGTAGGTAGTGTGAAAACAGCTGTTCAGATACCTGGGGAGTGAGCGTTAAGAGTTCTGCTCCCCCCACCCCCGCAGCCGAAGCCGGTTTGGCTCAGTGGTAGAGCATTGGTTTGCGGACTGAAAGGTCCCAGGTTCGATTTCGGTCAAGGGCATGTACATTGGTTGTGGGCACATCCCCGGTAGGGGGTGCGCAAGAGGCAGCTGGCCGATGTTTCCCTTTCATTGACGTTTCTAGCTCTCTATCTCTATCACTTCCTGTTAAAAATCAATAAAATATTTAAAAAAAAAAAAAAAAAAGAGAGAGAGTTCTGCCCCCGACTTGTCCCTGTGCAGTCACAGTGTCAGTGCGAAAGGGTGATTTAAGCCCTGGCTGGGTGGCTCAGTTGATTGGAGCATCGGCCCATACACCAAGAGAAAGGGTGAGTCAGCCTCACCCCTGTGACGCATCGCACCTCCTCCTCTAGCCACCTCTGACCAGTCTCTGTGTGCATGCCCTTTCCCTCCTGGAGGAGCCCGGCCTGCCAGGCTTACCGATTCTGCCGGAGAGACCTCGGCTAAAAAATGGGCAACGTGGCTTATCAGGGAGTGCGCTGAGTTTGCAAAAGCCATTCTCTTAAGACAGAAATGCCAATCAATGTCAGGATTTGAAAGTAGCCATGTCAGAAGCCTTCCATCTCCAAGCAAGGTTTGTATCTTTAAGGTAGATCTAATTTTGGACAAATGAATAAAATTATGTTTCTAAGCTTACAAAGCTGAAGACTACTTTCAAATACTTCCCATCCATGAATCTCTTCTCCAAGTTACACATTCAGATAGTTCCGGGGTCAGGAAGGTTTTAAAGGTTGACCCAGTGCTCGCTGCTGCAGAAATGCCAGCTGGCAGGATGGGGAAGGCACACCCTGCTGCTGCTCTCCGTACTTATTGTTTCCTTTGTCTTTACGCAGGAAACCGAGATTCTGTTCAGGACAGCTATATGCCTGGCTGACAGCTGTTTTGAAGCTAGAGATGGCCATGTGATATAGTTTTTGCTGATAAGTGGAAGTCTACTTGTGATTTCTGGGAAAGTTTGTTTTCTTGCCCTAAGTACCAATCCTTCCTCCTGTCTTTTCTTCCCGTTTCCTTTCGGGAATGTGGCTGTAAAAGCTGGAGCTGCAGCAGCCATTTCCAGGCCCTGGAGGAGAGGCCAGGATAATTATGTATCGGCTGATATTCCAGAAACTGCCTACTCTAAACATGATTTTGTTTAAAAAAAGAAATCTAATTTGTGCAAGCTCATTTGGTTGGTTTTTACTTACAATCAAATGCAATTTCTAATTGACATATTAACATTTAAATTAGCTTAAAAATATTATGCAGGTCAATGCATAATGTTGCCTACATTTTTTTCATCATCACAAGGTATCTTGGATATTTCTGAATCATGTA